GTCTTCGACGTGCAACCAGTCACGCACTTGCAAGCCGTCGCCGTAGAGCGGGATCGGTTCGCCGCGCAGCGCCCGCAGCGTCGCCAGCGGGATCAACTTCTCCGGGAACTGCCGCGGGCCGTAGTTGTTCGTGGGACAGGCGATGACCGACGCTAAGCCGTACGTCCGGCCGAACGACCGCACAAGATGGTCCGCCGCCGCTTTGGTGGCGGAATAGGGCGAACTCGGGTTGTAGGGCGTATTGGCGCCAGCGTAATCGCCGGCGTTGATCGGGCCGTAGACCTCATCCGTCGAGGTGTGAACCAGCAGCAGACGCTCGGCGGCAGAAGCGTCGATCCGTGTTTGCTCGTCGCGGTAGTCGAGCCACGCCCGCAGCACCGAGGCGGTCCCTTCGACGTTGGTCCGCACGAACGTCGCCGGTTCGGCGATCGACCGATCGACGTGCGACTCCGCCGCGAGGTGCACCAGCACGTCGGGCCGGGCGCGGCGGATCGCGTCGCTGAGCCGTGCCGTGTCGAGCACGTCGCCTTGGACGAACCCGTAGCGTGGGTTCGCCTCCAATTCGGCGACCGATTCGCGGAGCCCTGCGTAGGTGAGGGCGTCGTAGTTCAGGACCCGTGTCGCGGGCCGCGTCAGCAACCGCCGCAGGACGGCGCTGCCGATGAACCCCGCTCCGCCGGTGACAAGCACCCGCTCGAGCGGCCGCGGCGACGGTGGGAGGGCGACAGGCGTCACGCCTCTATCCTAAACCGTGGCGGACTTGGCGAGCGGAACGAGCCGCCCCGATAGCTCCTCAACTCGGGTCAGATTAGGGCGGTTATACGGCCATTTCCCTCGGTTTGGGCATCGCCGCGAACCCCGCTTGATCGGTTTCGGTCTGACGCTATACTTCGTGATTCAGTGACGGCCCGAGGGCCTTCGCTATGCGGCTGTAGCTCAGTTGGTAGAGCATCACGTTGCCAACGTGATTGTCGTCGGTTCGAGTCCGATCAGCCGCTCTGCGTTTCAGGGTTGTTTAGCTTGGCTCAGCCAGGACATCACTGCCCTGCAAGTCTTTCCGGTCTTGGCTTGCTATCGCCAAGACCTCGCCACGCAGGCCCTCTGTCCTACTTAGTTGGCTTTCTGCTTTGTGACGTAGGTGAGCCGGTAGCGTCTGCGACCGGAGTGCCCCTGGCGCCCGGTAACCAACGCCCGCCCACCATCGCCGTAGCCTCTCCCAACCCCAACAACCGCCCCTGCCCCACCCCCGGGCGCTGTCGCTGACGGCTCGCCTTGGAGACGCCCCTTCTCTAACCTCGGCCCTCCGCGGTATCTTACCGGGCTTCGGTCACGGCTAGCGTGGCTGAACGATCCACTGGGACCCTCGTTGGCGGCAGCCGCGAGTCCCCCCTGCAACTCAACGACCCGACGCGAGAGCCATGGCGGCAGAAGAACTGGAAGACGACAACACGACAGCCGTTGTTGAGGGTGAGGGCGCCGAGGGTGAAGAGCCCCAGAAGCTGTCGCTCGACGTCAACATCGCCAAGCCCAGCGCTTGCGAGCGGCGGATCACCGTCACGGTTTCGCGCGAAGACATTGACCGCTACATGGACAATGCCTTCAGCGAACTGATGCCCAGCGCCAGCGTGCCGGGCTTCCGGGTCGGCCGCGCGCCGCGGAAGATCGTGGTCCAGAAGTTCAAGGACCAGATCGCCGACCAGGTGAAGGGCTCGCTCCTGATGGACAGCCTCGGTCAGGTCGCCGAGGACGAGAAGTTCGCCGCGATCAGCGAGCCGGACCTCGACCTCGAAGCCGTCGAGATCCCCGACGAAGGCCCGCTGACGTTCGAGTTCAGCATCGAGGTCCGCCCCGAGTTCGACCTCCCCAAGTGGAAGGGTCTCAAGCTCAAGCAGCCCGTCCACAAGTTCGGCCCCGAGGACATCGATAGCCAGATCGAGCAGATGCTCGCCAAGTACGGACAGCTCGTCCCCAAGGACGGCGCCGCCGAGGAAGGCGACTATCTGGTGATCACGCTCCGTGGCCTCGCTGACGGCAAGGAAATCTCCAAGGACGAAGAACGCGTCGTCCGTCTCCGCAAGACGCTCAGCTTCGTCGATGGCCGCGTCGAAGACTTCCTCGCCCTGGCCAAGGGGGCGAAGGAAGGCGACAAGCTCACCGCCGAGGTGAAGCTCTCCGGCAGCGCCCCCAACGAAGAGCTGCGCGGCAAGCCGGTCACGCTCGAGATCGAGGTGCTCGAAGTCAAGCAGCTCCGCCTCCCGGAACTCGACGAGGATTTCCTCGCCGAAATCGGCGGCTTCAAGACCGAGGGCGACTTCCGCGACGCGGTCCAGAAGGAC